CCCCCTTAATAAATGCAATTTAGAAATAGTTCCCCCTCAATCTATGCATAACCTTTATATCTTCCCCCTTTTGACATTAACAAAAAGAATTAAAAGTAAACTTTTATTCATTTAAAAGGGAAATGCAGAATACAACGGATAAAAACACAATCATATTTAATAAGGAGAAAATAAAGAAGATGTCGTGGCGCCGGTGTTGGCCTTCTTCTTTGAAGCCTCGGTTTTGGTCCTTGACTTTCCTCTAGCCATTGTTGAAGCGTTTAGAAGGTGAGTAGAGGCTTAAAGTATGCAAGAGGAATGTGAGTTGTGTGTTAAAAATGATCAAGGATGGTTAATATTTATAGGAAAAGAGAATTTGGGCCTTTGGTGTTAAAAATATGGCTGTTAGGCATTGAATAAGGTGCCCAACGGCTATGATTTTTGAAGTACAACAGGCTTTCCAGCGATGGTAAGGTTCTCCCATCAATGGGAAGACAGGTACTGGAAAGGGAGGAAAAAGTGAAGGCAGCCTTCCCAGCGATGGTAAGGTTCTCCCATCCATGGGAAGACAGCTACTGGAAATCTGTTAAAAAATATTTTTTTTTTTAAAAGTGTCAAACACCCAGCGATGGGAAGAAGTTCCCATCGATGGGAAGAAGGCTGCTGGTTAGAAAATACTTCCTTCCCAGCGATGGGATAAACCACCCATCGCTGGTTCCCCCTGAGTTCTTCACTTTGATACGTACCTGCAAAAAAAACAACACTTTGGTACCCAAAGTATGTCTATGGGTCCTTGGGGGTAAGTTAACCTTTATTGCACACACACACCCAAAATTCGTTTCCTAACGCACACACACACACGATTAGATGATCGTTTAGGAGTTACCTTGGCCAACCCATGATCTCGTGGTTGGCGGGTTCCAGTCTACCAGAACGGAGTGCCGATATCTCGGTGTGATTTGTGTCGGTTCTGGTAACGGAATGTGGACATTCTTCTTTTCGTCAAAGTAGAAGAAATAATAAGGTTTCTTTTGTGCATTGTCCTGTGGAGATTGTTTATGATTCGAATATACTTTTCCAAAGGATTTCTTTTCATTAGCACCAAATACGTTGTGTGTTTCATTGTAGGTGAAGTGCCTATGTCTGGTGAAACACACGGGAGCTATATGTCCTACCCTATTGCAGTAGTGGCATACTACGTTTGGGTTGAACATGTGCCTAGGTTGATAATAGTTGCTTGGGGGCCTAACCATATTCATCCTATTTTGAGAAAATATTGGTTTTTGAAAATTCTCTCTTTTAGGTGTCCTAGCATTATTTTGTCTATTTGAAAAGTCATTTCTGTGCATAAAATCATTTTGATAATTTCTCCTAGGTTGCCTAGAATGCTCATGTTCATGACTAACCTTTTGTCTAGGTTGTCTATTATTTTTATTTTTATCTTTCTTAGGTTGAGCTCTAGGTGATTTACGGTTGTGCTCAACTTTTTCTTTATTTTTAGGTTCATCTATTTTCCCAAAGCCTATTCCTTGTTTAGTGTATTGCATAGAATCAAAAACGAGATTAAGATTTTTATGTGGTTTATTAAATTTCTTCACCGTGTTTTCTAACTCAGCAACTTGTTCTTTCAAAGCTATGCAAGAGTCACAATGTTTTGTAGAGCTCTCGGGTTTGTCGGCGCTTCTTTTACCATAAAATTTATTTTCCTCTTTTAGTTTTTTGTTTTCCTTTTGAAGTTTTTCAAACTCAGTTTCAAGATTAGAAAAAC